GGGTTTTTATATCTAAAGCATGCCACAGCAGACAGCCCAAGGACCGTGAGGAGGAAGAGTTTACCACTAGGAAGCAGAGGAAATATTCCCTGTCCTGCTTCTTTTTGGGCTCAATCTAAAAAGACAAAGATGAAAGGAAATTTGTCACAGGCAGGACAAGAGGATTAAAGGTGGGTGGAAGGGCTGACGAGCGAATAGAGAAGTGATTCTGGAGAAACCATGAATGAGAAATAAACATGTCAAGAGGACCGAGGGAAACAGTTGTGATATTTATGAATTCGTAGAAAGCAGGTAGGCATGTTTTATGTTTTATTGTGCAATTTTTCCTTCAAGGGAAACAGCTTTGCGGTCAGGTTATTTCTTCTCCCACACTGTGGCTTTGCTGTTTGTAGAACAAGAAGCAAAATAAAAGAGAAGAGATTCATGGCTTAAATTCCCCCCTGCAAACATGCAATGAGCAACCCAGTGGCTCTCACAGGTGATGCCCAACCACAATCTCCAAGGCTGGAGATTGCCTTTATGCCAGTTCCTCTGCAAGTACCACTTGAGCAGCCTGAAAATGCTCTGGGGATAAAGCCCATGGCCATAGGGCTGGAGCTGAGTGGACGGGGGCAGTTTTGCAGTTCCTGAGGTGGGAGTGAGCCCCAAGGAGATGCCTGGACCCCAGCATGGTCCACACCATCAGTCACTGCAACTTCTGCACTGATAGAGATGAGCTGCTGCTAAAACCATGAGCAGCTAGGAAAAGCGGGAGCAGGAATGCTGGAGACCATCACACTGGTGGAAAATCACCACCTGAGCAAGCAGGAGCCTGCTGCTCACGTAAACCTGGAGATGAAAAGGCCATTTCAGTGTGCCTCATATGCACTACAGAGCACTACAGCTGCTCAGGCTGCAAGAAGGAATTAGGGCTCATCTTCTCCCTTGTCACTGAATCATTTTGAGACTAATAGGGGCAAATAACAGTAAATGAATCAAAGAGAATGTGAGTTAAGCAATCAGGTAACACATCTAATGGAGATAGAAATGATGGAGACTGAAAGGGCTGTGTTTTTCCATTTGCTCTTTATTAAAAATACGAAGATGAAAGGCATGAAATACCTCTGAGAAATAAGCATGGCTGAATTGCAAGAGTGACACAAATTACCCAGCATTTACCCCTGGAAGAACGGAGATTTCTGCATGGAGCAGCGTCCACACTTCACATTCCCAAGTCCTCACAGCTCTTGTGAACAGCCCTACTGGAGACACCAAAGGTGCTCCCTGGCACGGGGCTCCTGCCTGCTGTTGGCCCTTTCAAGGTCAGTAAGAAGACCAAGGTGCTGGGCCACAGGTCTCTGCCTTTAGGTCTTCACCCCCAACGCCCAAGTCTTTCAGCTTCCAACATCAGATATATGTTAAAGAGGCCCCAGGGATGTAAGGTGTTACAGCGTGAATTACATGCCATCACTTCTCTTTCTGGTCAGAAGTAGAAACTACAAAGACTCTTCTGATTAAACAAATAAATAAACTGAACGAAATCCATCCACTGGGGAAGCCGACTGGCTTAAACCAGAGGTTCAGAGGGGCTACATCCTCAGGGTACAGATCTCAGGGGGGCTATTTTATCTAGTCCAAAGCCTGTGTCCCTTCATGGAACTGATGGAGCTGTGCACCACGGGCACAGCTGGACGAGCTCCGAGTTGAAAGCTAGTTTCAGACACCAAACACACAGTGGTGCATCTGTAGATGTTACGCTGCACAGCAGCTCATCAATTTGAATCTCATAACCCCTCAAATCTTTGCATCTCGTGGGAGTGCTGCCTGCTCTCCTGGCACCCAGACCTACTATTTAGCCCATAATACACAGCGCGAATTGGAGCAGTGGCACTGAGTCTCCAGACACAGGCAGTGGCTCATTCCTCTTGGTGAAATGGGGCCTTTTTGGTGCCAGACAGGCAGCAGGGAGCCATCTTTCACTTAAAAGTTTCACTTTACGAAAGGAGTTGGGCTAGCCAGGGAACATGGAGAGGTAGCTCAGAGTTACTCCCCTGTGACATGCTGATGGGCAGAGGTGACCAAAGTCATGGGCCAGATTGAAAGGAAAAAACACAACTGTGTTTGTCATGACGAGAGACAAGAAAGTGGCCATGAAGAAGGATGCTCAGAGAGAAAGGACCACACTGAACCACCAAATGAACCTGCTAGAGGCAGTGTCTGAATCCCAGTTGACTTCAGCAGATGATTTATCAGGACCTAAAGCTACTGGTCATTTCTGCATGTCTCCAAATAAAACATGTCCCAGATGCAGGATGTTTTCCCCCACTATTTTCCCTTTATATTCTGTCTCCCTTTTCTTCCACCCAGTTTCCAGACAGGGGTAAACTGTCCACATAAAAGCTGATTTCTTTTAGGGATGCTGGAGAGCAGTAAAGGGAGGTGGTGGCATTCTTCGTGCTTCTGGGAGCACATCATGTACCAAAGGATGGCTTTTTTCCATATTTACTGCAGAGCATAGCATTCTGTTTTGCCAACTTTTTTGGCATGCAAAGCAACAGGAAAATAGCAACTTCGAGATAACTTGTAAGGTTTTAAATTATGATTTTCAGGAACACCTTGAAATTCTGTGTTTGAAAATCTAAAAATTTAATATGTTTTTGGCTGTGAGCAGCAAGTCATGAACACCCGAGGGTGCTTACTTAGCAGCAGGGAGAAAACTTGCCTTTGATATGGGATGGTACCCACAGCAGGAGGAGAGGCAAAATGCAACCTGTTACTTGAACACATGGATTTGATTGCTTTCTGCTTTGCATTGATTTTGTACACTGTGAATTCACCGACTTTAATATAGTAGCTATTGATTTGTACTAGTGAAAGAGACGGGAGAAGCTAGCCCCTTCTGTGACAAGCAAGCTTGTTTGGTTTTATGACAAAGATTTCACTTCCATGCACTTACAAATGAAATGACTGGTTCGAACTGAAATACAGATTTTCCCAGGTTACACGTGCAGGGCTTGGCAGGGCTTGCCCAGCCTCAGAGTCAGTGGTCCTTTAGGATGAAGGGAAGGCAGGGACGCACACCCGGCCAGGAAAACCTGCACCCTGCTCTGCTGGACCACCACAAGCAAATAACATCACACCTTCTCCGTCTAATCCCAGCTGAACTGCACTGCCCTGACTCACCACCAGTCCATCCATAATTTATTTATTTTTTTTTGACAGTCATAAAAACAGAAATGCACATCTCTGTGCTCCAGCCACTGCGTCTAATCTCTCCTTCCTCCAGGCTGCTTTTATTTTTGGCTTGGTTTTGTGCGATTTGGGTTTGGTAGAACATCCCCTGGATAATAAGACCTGGTAGTGTTAGCATTAAAACCAAGTCAGGACCCCCCAGCCTGCCAGGGCTGAGTCATTTGGAAGTCTGAGGCTGCAGGTGACCCAGCCTCTGTGTCCTCCTTTGATGTCACTTTGCGAGCTCCTCAATGAGCACAGCTGTGCTCAGGAGAGCCCATTAGCTTTCCATGATCTTTGATTCACTCAAAAATGAGTCAGACGTGAGGAGCCTGGGCATGATCAGGCCATCTCTGAGGATCTCCAGCAAGAGTTGCATTCTCCTAAGCAGCTGCAATACCCAGACTCGCTCCCAGGTAAAGAGCAAGATCACAGCGTGCCTCTGGGCTCGGCAGAGATGGGGCTGAGCAAGCAGCAGCTGCCTCCAGACCTGTGCTGGAGGCACTGATGCTGCCAGGTATAACACCAAAAATAAACCCTGGCCGTGAATTCATGCCAGTCCCTGCTGGCAGCTGTGCCAGCTCACGGTCGCACCTCTGCAATCCCACCAGCCAGCAGCATATGGAAGCAAACGCAGCACACTGGCCAGACTGGGCTCCCAGGGACGTGGCTTCCTTCCCTGGTGAAGGAAGGTTTTCCTAAGCCTGCATAAAATAGCCCTGTCGAAATGTTTTGTCCGCAGTAAATGTACTTTGCAGTTACAGCACTCCGTGAGCCCAGCCTAAGGGGGGTATGGGGAGCGGGCACAGCCTCGGCGCTAAGCAGCAGGAGGGATGGTTTAGGTAATTCATCATATTATAAGTGCCACATGAGATGGAGCAAATTAGACGGTTTGTTCAGCTGCTAATGAAAAGAAGAAAACATTTCCAACCAGAGCACTGTGAGCTCCTCTGGTCTCCTGCAAAGTCCAGGAGGTTCACGGGGGGACATGAGTAGCACTGTATATGATGAGGTGGTGCAGGGCTGCTGTGAGGGGAATAATAGAGACTTCTTGCACAACAAGGTCTCAGGGTGACCTTGAACAGAGTGGCTAAGCACTGGGAATGATTTGGAGGCTCGCAGGGAGGTGGGAATGATGGACCCCTCCTCTCACCTGTGTCCTCAGCTGAATGGTGCAAAACAACTCAACTATGCTGCAAGAACAGGTGATTGTACATCTGTCAACAGGTGCTGATGTGTTAGAGGGATGTAACAGCATAATTAAATAAATAAGAAAGAAGAATATGGGCTTATCCTCAATGTAGGATGGCTGAAATATAGCCCTCTTGCCACGTGCATGCTGATCAGCTCCATGGGACACAGCCTGGAGAGCTCAAACCTAGAGCCAGTCCCCATCCAGTGCCCTCCTGCCCCATCTGATGGGCAGTGGAGAACCTTCCTCCTCCCCCTCATCCTTGAGTGGCAGTGAAGCCAGTCTAGTCGTGGCCAAGTAGCAACTGGGTTTCCCATGGAAATTGTTACACTTACTCATTTAAGCCAACTATTTCCAAATATTTTCCTGTTTATTCCGAAAAGCTCTGTGCCCATGAACATTCCTGTGAACTAAGTCACTGCCTGTATTTCAAGCACCAATAATATCCATAGAAAGCTAACAACAAAAAGGCAATAGCATCACCCTCTTTATAACCATGCACATATGTTCATGTTACTGCCTCTGTGGCATTTTCCTAGCTTTGGAATTACCATGACAAGGGAATGAGCCAGATGGAAAAAGGGAAAAGAAAACCCACCTCCAAATTCAGGGTGTTCTCTGACTTCTGGACCCTCAGGAAAAAAGAGCTGTTCCTTTGCTCCTTTGCAAAAAGACAAGAAAGCAAAATAGATGTGTTTTTATTTAATGTCTCTTTGGCCTATCTACCTTAAATGGACCGTGATTTTTAAATTATGTGATGCATATTGAGTAAGTGTACCATCTTTTGTGTACCATCTCTTAGAGATTATATATATTTTCAATATCCAATTACAGTGAAATAAAGGTCAGGGTCCTATCAATGCCCTGTTCCAGAGGACACAGCAAAACTTTCAGCTCATCGGTGTTTTTCCTTGCATTTGTGTACTTAATGTTATATCTTGTTATTCTAATGGGGAAGATTATCCACTTTTAAAACAAGTTTTCTGTATTGATGACACTGCAAGCACAGCTTTGTTGAGCTGTTTTCTGCCTGGGAATGTTCAGTGCCCTTTTTAAGAATTAGCTTGATGGATATTTTTTCTGCTTTGCCTTGTCAGCCTTGAATCACAGGGGAATCACAAAGGTGGAAGGCAAAACTTCAAGATAATACAGAATTTTTCAGCAACTTTTTTGTGACCAAAGACATTCTGGCCACAAAGGATTCATTCTGAAATTCAAAGCATCTGGGTTTGCTGAGTAGCAACATGAAAAATATCGAAAGCTTATGCTTATCTATGAGGATTGTCTGCACTGAAGGTTGCAATAGGAAAAAAACACAGAAGGCAGGATGGGATTTAGTATCCAAAATCACCTGGGTTCTTTTAAAAGTCATAGTTAGACTCTTGAACTAGCTTTCCTACAGAATTTCTCAGGGTGAGACTGAATTTTGACTGGTAAGACCACATGAAGGCTAAAATATAATCCTATACTACTTTGGGGGAAAAAATCTTGACTTGAGTATAGAGATGAAAGGGATGAAAGCCCACCCAAACCCTGGTGCGTGCTAGCAAATAAAATAAGGTCCAAGTATGTCATTTTTCCACTTGCCATGAGCCAGGGACTGAGGTGCTGCTAAAATTTTCCTGAAATCCAGATACTGACTCTTATCCATCTTGCCCTTAGCCCTGTGCTCCTTCACTCTTTTCAGAGAACACAACCAGATTTCTCTAAAAAATGAAGTGAGTGTTCCCAAGAATCTAAGCACTAATCAATCCTTCAGTGGGACAGATGTGTTTTCTAGTAATAATAGTAATTATTTCTGAAAGCCCTTGGAAATTTGACTGCTGTTTACCAGCAGTAAGTAGGAACAGAAGAGGAACTATTTCGGGTCATAAAGCCAGGCTGCTGCTGTGCTCAGAGAACCAGTTCTCTTCTGCAAAGTTCTTTTAATGATGAAAGTTTCCAACAAGATTACTTTATTAAGGGCATTTCTACAAGACACAGGTGTAGACATGTAAACCAGCCTTAGAAAAATGGGACAATTGGTAATAAATCACCACTAAATAGCTCATGGTTATTTAGATTTTGTTACTTGAATGGAGAAATGTAAACACAGGGACATTCCTGATGTTTTCAGGAAATATATGACTGATGACCCCATAAATTACCCCCAGATCAAGTTAACCACCGGCATATCTCCCCTCCTCACTTGGACGCACATGCACATGAACGCAGTCCTGCAAATCCACCCTGTCATCAAACTGCCTGTGAAAGATAAATACAGCAAATAGGGGCTCCAAAGGACAGTGGAAAACCAATCTAAAACCTAATGCTCATGAAAAAAGATATGGACAAAGCTTTCACCACTTCAAATAAAGTAAAGGAGTCTTCATCAAGGGTGTAGGTACGACAGGACAAATCTTGCCATATGGCTAGTCAGAACAAAATCTCAGCTCCAGTCAGAATTTGTAGCCAAAAAGGTTTTTAAAACTTCAGGCTCACAAAAATATGCATTGAAGAAAGCCAGCCTTTGTTGTTGGTTTTTTCTTTGCTTTGTTTTGTTCTTCTGATTCTCCCTCATTTCCACTTCATTAGGATTCTAAGAGCGAGACAAGCCTGTAGCACTGTGGTCCCACAAGGTATCGTGCACAGAAGGTGCTCACCATGAAACCAAGCCCTGATCCTACACAGAGGAGGCAGCCTGGCTACCGAGCTGCCCATCACACTGCATGAGGAGCATCTCCAAACCCTAACCCCCAAACCCAGCCTCCTTGGACTTTGCTTTCACCCTTATATGACCCGCTTTTCAGACGCTGTAGTCCCTCCAAACAGCATTATTATTTCTCCCAGGAAATGTCAGACCAAGTGCTTTATACACACTGAGAAGATTGAAATAAATAAATGTTGTTTTGAATTAAATAAATAAATAACAGAAGCAGTTACCAAGAACAACAAAGATATATTTTCCACTGACTAGACATTCTCAAACCTTGTAGTTTAAAAATTATATTCCAACCCTGCTCACTTGATAATCAGTTGAACTTTTTTTTTTTTTTTTATCACTAAACATTGGACCAAACTCGTGTTTTTTGGCTTAGTTCTGCTGCCCTGAAGACAATGGTAAACTTTTTGCTAAGCTCTGGTGTGAGCTGAGTTGGGTTGTAGTGACTGCTGTAAATTCCTCTCACAGATGCTAAAAAATGGAGCTAAAACCTCGTTGTGTGAGTCTTATGGATGTCTGGAAAATATAATCAGTGTTTACAGTTTCCTACAATTGGTGGCAGAATGAAAATAAATACAAGCCTGAGTAACGATGTGCTCCTTTACTGCTCTGCTTGGTTTAATTCTGGTCTCAAAAAGAAGGGGAGAAAACAGAAAAGAAAAAGAGGGCTCCAGACTGGAGCCCTGCAGCGCCTACAGCTCACTCCTGCTTGAAAATTTGCCTCCGTTTGTTTAGTGAAATTTCCTCCTACTCTCCAATTATTTCTCATTTTGTTCACAGCTGCACGCTACTTCAATAATTCCTTCTGTGAGGAGACAAACCAAAGACACAGGTTTTAAAAATGCAGCCCTGGTGCCTTGACTTTTTGACCAAATGTATCTGAATTAATTGTCCTTTGGTGCCTCTTCTGCTAGAGCCAGGCTTTGTTTAGGAGACCTAGTGCTGCCAGAGGAGCGGATATTAAGGGGGGATCTGCCCGTTCCTGTGAATTTGCACATTTCTCGGCTGGCAGGCACCTCTCAGACACCTTCAGATGGCTGCGAGGAGGAATTTTTCCAACACGAAGGTGTTGGCCTCTCTGGGAGGCAGAAAGCAGTTAACGCTGGAGCTAATTACGGTGAGGCTGACAGAGGCTGACACGTCTATTGTTTGATGAAGGGGCCACCGGGATTTCTGCCGAGCGAGAGGGAGGGATGCCTTTCTCCATCTCCCCACAGGCCCTTGACATCGGGGAGTGAGAAGACAAGGATGCCAGACCTTCTAATTATACACCAGCAACCTGCGAAAACAGAGCTTTGGAAGTGTTGGTTAAAAATAACGCCCCCAGGCTCGGAAGCCAAGCGGCATAACAAGAAAGAGCAAAAGGGTGGGAGTGGGGAGGTGGGAGAGGTCTTCTGCTCAGCCCCTCGTGGATGGGGCCAGCAGAGCTCCTGGGCCCTGATTCACAAAGCACATGTACAGGTTTGTATCACCTAAAGCTTTGGCTGTATTTTTATTTTATTTTATTTCCCAGATAAGTTTTACGCTCAGTTTAAAGGCACCTTTATCAAAAATAGTCCTGATATCATCTATCGAGCCAGTCGTCCTCCAGCCCGTAGGACAACTGCTCTCCTATTTTCCTGTAAAGAGATGTATGGGCATCTACTGCTATGCCCCAGGCCTTGAAGACCCGTGCCCAGCTCTGCAGCAGACAGACCAAGGTAAAGCAAGCAGAGAATCTCTGCATCTGGCATTTATTGTGGATAAACCTGAGATCTGCACAGGGAGGAACTTCTGTGCATTGAGCTTTTGTCTGAAAATCATCTGCTGCATCACTAAAACCACATTGGAGGAGTGTTGTCTGAAAACCTACCTGCATCCCCACTAAGGATGGGGATCCCACGGAAGGGGATACAGATACAGCAATGACGGGCACTGAAGTGCTCCATGTTCAACTTTGCATTGATCTGGTAGCTTCTGAGGCATGCACCGTGTAAATTATTGGATATTAATTGGACAGGAGAATTGCCTTCCACAGGGATGACCTAACCAGCAGACTCCTTATTATGTCTGGTTCCATATACAGAGTACTCCAACAATCAAAACAGCCAACAGCAGTGGGAAGGACAGAGAAGCTCTCTCTACCCAAATGCCCAGGTGGTGGTTGTCAGGTGGGACCTCATTCCCAGATGTTGTCCATCTCCTGAGCATCTTTGGGCATCTCTGTGCACAACAGATAACCTCCTCTGCTGCTCAAAGAAACTGGTCCCTCAAGGTTATTAAACCATTCAGTTTGGGGTCTTAGTGCTGGTCTAGAGTGAGTTCAAAACCCCAAGAGAGGGTTTCCTATGTCCTAGTGTCCCTAAGGTCTCCGGTGAAAGGATCTTCCTCATCCTCTCTGGTTTGTGAACCGGGGCCTCCAGGTATCTTCACTGGGCAATACTGGAAAATATGACTCAAATATAGAACAACTTGGCACTAAGGTAACTTTTCTGAGGAATGATTATCCATCCTGCCCCTTCCATTAACCCACCCGGCTGTGAATGCAGCAGAGAGTTAATCAGATGAGTTTCTTATCATCTAAGGATGACAACGCTAATATTCCCTCCTCAGCTTTTTCAGAACAATTGCTCTGCCCACGCCTTTCAGCCCAGCAGCTGCAGCACTCTGTGGATTCTCAGACCCTTTAATTAAATAAAGGGAAGAAAAGCCCCATAGTCACAGAGGTGGATCCAGACCACATCCCCATTACTTTCCACGTAGTGTGGCTGACCCCCTTGCAAACCAGTGGTGTCACAGAGCCTAAAACTTGCCAGCCTGCCCCTCTGGAAAGACAGTTTTATTGGGCAGCACATCCCAAAATGAGAAAGGATTGCCGTCATATATCTGGCTTCTGGTTTTATCAGTGTCCGCAGCTCCAAGCCAAAGTGAAGTATTAGGAGGTAAATCACCTCCATAGGTTTCTCACGGGCACTTAGGAA